CCTCCTGACGTCTTTACGGTGCCGTTTCTCGGACTTTCGCATGCTATACACTTGTTACTTTCTCCTTTGTTCCTTACCATGCATGATGAGCATTCCCAAGTATTGGTAGCTGGTTTAAACTTATCGCCGAATCCTGTAGCAGCTGATTGAACTGCACTTGTTGGTTTAGGATTGGGTGCTTCACAAGCTGCACATTTGCTAAGTTCCATCTTGTTCTGTATCATACATACTGGACATTCCCATGTGCCTGCTTGTGGTTTGAATTTATCTCCAAAGGTGGAAACTGTCGGAGCATTTGTGCTTGTTGTGCTCAAAGGTTTTGGGGTCGTACAAGAAACACACTTTGTATCAATGTTACTGTTCCTCACTAAGCAAGCAGTACATTCCCACTTGTCCTGGGTCATTTTGAATTGACTGCCAAATTCCATTTTGTTTTCGGTTGATTTTTTATTTCGCGGTGTTTCGCAAGCTGCACATTTCGTTTTATCAGCGGAGTTCCTAATCAAACAAGTGTTGCATTCCCAAGTATCTTTAGCTGGCTTGAATTTTTCAGACAATGATTCATTCTTCTTACCCAATATATCCATAACACTACCCGTTTTAAGCACTGGAGGTGCTTTGCCCAAGGTATCACCATTATTCTTCGTCTTACTAGGCACCAACAGGGGTAACTTATTTTCTGGCATTTTGAAATTCAATGTCACTTTACCACCTGCCACTTCTTTCTGTATTTGTTTACATAATGGTTCACTGAATTTGAAATTATTCATAGCTATAATCGACTTGAGATTCTCTGCAATAACTACTGGGTCCGAAAATTTGAACTCATCCCCTGAATTGCCCTTTTGTTTATTTTCAGTCTGTTGAGGTTTATAATCAGTGACAGGTGCAACAGGTGGAATTGCAAGAGCCATGGGAGCTGGTTTCTCGGGTGATTTTGATGTCACAACTGACATAGGAGGTGGTATGACTATGTCAAACTTGGGTAAAGTGGTGATCGGTAATGAAATAGGTTTTAAACTGACTTCACTAACTGGTGTATCAACTTGCACAGGAGCTTTCTGCCTAACAGAACTAATTTTCGCCCTCATTTTCCCTGTATGCTTCTCTTTTTCTTGCTCATTAGCGGCTAATTTGTAACTTTCTGAGTTCAAGTCAGACTTGGATGATTTTGCAATCTGTCTCACAGCCTCTGTACTATCTTGTAACCTAGTTTTTTGTTTCATCAAAAGTAAATCGGTGACAGAGGGTACCTGCAATTCTTTGCGTAAGGCCCCTTTTGTTTCCCTGACCATATAAGGATTGGCACCGACATATTTGCTTATAAGACCTTCCTTAGGTTTCTTAGAAGCCACAGGTATTTTCTTGGCGTCACTTATAGGCGAACTATACTGTTCAAGTGTTTCAAGTATCCTCCTAGCAGTTTTTCCTAGCACCAAATTATTTGATTCCTCCTTCTGTTGATTTACTGGCTTAATCTGTACGGAATTTTTTAGATTTTTTTTCAGATCTAGTTCGGTTCTGCCTAGTTTCCTACCATAAGCTGAAGCACCTCCATACACTGTTCTGCCACTATAGAATGGTGAATTGATGATCTTTTTCGTGGAGAGTGTTTTGTCAACAAAGTTCGGTGAACCGAAAGTTGATGCATTGAAAAATGGTCGCCTAGAACTCAATGATGTGTTCATATGAGCACTCATTGTTCTGTCTGTGAATAGTGAGCGATTGACAGCTGTATCTAAAAATCAGAGAAAGGGACACATTAGCTCTTTCAACAGAGACTTTCAAGTTAAGACATATTGATAATATCTCCATTTTTTATTACAATTATAAAATGTAGTCCTCCTAAAAGCAAGCCTGTGTACTAGTTGAGGAATTATAATCTAGAGTATTTGCTATAAGAGTATTTCTTTTATAACAAACTAGTTTATGAGCAGTCTTGATATCTGAGACAATGTACAGGGTGGCCGACTAAGACTGTATCTGGGAGCCTATCTATCGTAGAGGTTTGCACAAAAAAAGTTCTTACTAAAACGGCCAAGTGAAAAACCGGGAAAGTACTTTGTCCGCTAGGGGGCGCAACTGCAATCTTGAATCTAAAAAAAGTGATGTTTTTGTGAATTCCGCTGTAGTAGTATTTTGTTAGACAATTTTTGCTGTATCTCTAAAAATAAAGTGGTCAGCGATACTCTAAGGTTTCCGTAAAAAACACCCTGTATCTTCGAAACGGCTGAGCCGATTTTAACAAACTTGGACTAGTTGAAAAGAGCTATTCTTAAGCTACAAATGTTATAATATTTGAAAAGTTGTTTGTTTCACATCTGACTGCTAGAGGGTTTTTTCACTTTCCGACAGAAATTTCTCAAAAAATGTAAATGCATTGGTATGATTTTTTTATGAAACAGTAGCTAAATGATGTCTAAACAAGCTAGCGAAAACCGCATCTTGATATCTTGTTCCTTACCTAAAATTTAGGCAAAATAATATTTTATATGAAAATCCCTTAAATTTTATGTTTTTAAAACTAATTTTTCTGGAATTCTTTTCTATTCAACAGAATAAAATCACCCTCACAAAATATCGCTAAAAGGTAGTAAGTAATGCTAATAACAAAACGCATAATTTTTGTACAAATGCATATTTACTATGGGTATAAACGAAAAATAAAATAGAAGCAGTCCATGGAACAAAACAAACAATCAAAACATAAATAATCCTCAAATTGAAAATAGTTGTCAATAATTCCGCGTTACTTTGAGCAATTTTTGTGCTAACTAAATGCGTTCTAAGAACGATGCAGCTGTTGATATGCTTGCAGTTTATTTTGAATATCTTCTGAATGCCGCAGTAGCAAAAAGAGTTTACGCGACCCGATATCCAAATCGGCGTCTTTTCGATGCGAGCTTTCCCCGATTAGTGTCGAGATTACGAGCCAATGGTAGTTTTCTGCCTACATTTCAATGGCAAAGAATTGGAAGAACACTAGAAAATATTAATCGCATACTGGGATATTTTGAAGGAAATTTTCATGTTAGCACAAAAGCTCTAGTTGCGCATATCACAAACAACGGTTCAAAATATTTTGAAGGAGAGAGAATTTTTATTTTAAATTCTTTGTACTGATGAAGCCACCTTTGATAGTGACGGGTGAATCAATCGGCACGATATGTATTAATGGTCTTCAGAAAATCCGCACTGGTTGCGTGAAGTTCAGCACCAAGGGCATTGGAGTTTAAGTGTGAGGTGTGACATACTGAGAGGCAGAATTACTGGGCCATATTTTTCGAGCAATCCCTAAATGGCAATGACTTACTTGACTTTTTCAACAATCAATTACCATTGTTTTTGCAAGATGTGCCACTGGAAATATAGCAAAACTTGTTTCTGCAGTTGGATGGTTGCCCAGCACATATTGCCACTATTGCGCTAAAGCATATTAGTGCAGTATTTCAACAGCGGTGGATTGGAGTAGAAAGTCTGTTTTCATGGCCTTCGCCCCAGATAATAAAAATTTTAGGGATTTTCATGTAAGATTGTCTCTAGTCTAAATTTTATATACAAAGAAGATATCAAGATGCTGTTTTCGCGAGCTTGTTTAGACATCATTTAACTACTTTATCATTTAAATAAAAAACATACCAATGCATTTGATTTTTTTTGAGGAAATTAACCATTTCTGTCGGAATGTCGAAAAAAGCCATCTAGCGGCCACATGTAAACCTAATAAAACCTCAAATATTATTATATTTGTAGCCAAAGAATAGCTCCTTTTAACTAGCCCAGTTTAGAAGTAACAGGGTATTTTTTTACTGAAACATTTATATCCCCCACCCCTTTATATGCAGAGATACACCAGAAATTTTCAAACAAATTTGAAGATCAAATATTTTTTTGTTAGGTTAATATAGCAAGATTCAGAGAAACATCACTTTTTTTAGATTCAAGATTGCAGTTAGGCCCCCTAGCAGCTATTTCAGAAACTTGAAAACACTTTCCAGGTCTTTCTGTTGGCCATTTTAGTAATACAGGCGTCCCTCGTTTTACGCGGGGGTAACGTTCTTTGAAAACACCGCGTAAAAAGAAACTGCGTATATCGAAACAAAAATATTTTATTACATAAACTTTTGTTAAATACATAATATACATAGGTATGTTTGTACATATTATGTATGAGGACATTAAACGTTAATTTTTTAACAAAAATATTAATTTTTAGAAAAATAAGACGTAATTTTTGACTGTTTAGCTTCGTTGCGTAAATTCTCAACTTCCTTCTTGTATTGCAATGCTGGGAGGCATCCGGTATCGTTAATATGGATACCGGGGCACGCTGGGATAAGGGGCAATGAGACGGCGGACACTCTGGCGAAGACAGGATCAGCCAGCAAGCTTGTTGGTCTTGAGCCAGCTCTAGGAGTGACCGCGCATAAAGCTAGGAGGAAAATGGAGACGTGGGTTTGCAAGACAACACTCTCAGAAATGGAGAAGTATCTCCAGACATCTCCGCCAGGCACGGGAACTCATTGAAGGGCCCAGTGCTAAGGATGGACGCTTCTGCCTATCTCTGGATAGAGCCAACTTAAGGCTGCTGGTGGGACTGTTGTCTGGCCATAACACGTTAAGGCGTCACCTGCACGTGATGGGGGTGGCTGAGGATCCCTTGTGTGAACGCTGCGGAGTAGAGGAAAAGAACTCGGCGCACGTTTTGTGTCGCTGTGAAGCTCTGACCTACTACAGGCAGACTATACTGGGGTCCATTACTTTGGACCCTCAAGACAACAAGGAGCTTGGACTCAAGGCGATTCTCAACTTCGCTAAAAGGGCGAGGCTTGTGATCTAAGGATTGTACAGGTGCATAAGGGCCCGCTTAAGCGGCCTATGCACTGGCTCCTTATGGTGGCCGGTATGCCTCTAATTTCAAGATTTATTCATTCTCAACTTCCTTGTATGGTGCCAATGCTGCAAAAACCTCTCGTTTAGTTCTTAAACTTCTTTCCATTGTAGGATCTTCCCTGATTAACAGCTCGGTGAGATCGTGTGCCATGGTCAAACATTTATTAAGCGTTTTCAACGTCAACTCCTTCATCATCTTCACCTTTTTTTCTTGAGCTTCATAATAGTTCTCCGTCAGTGCTATGAGTTCTCTTTCAGTGACTTCAACATTACGCGATTCAAATAGCTGATTTATATCGTCCTCATTCATATCATCGAATCCCTCTCCAGGTAATGACTTTCCTAAATCAGCAATGTCTTTGATTTCGTCTCTGATATCAGGTACCTTCGCATGAGACTTCACAACTTCTGACCATAAGTTTTACCAGCAGCCATTTAATGTCGATTTTATAAGTTTCGTCCGGTTAAAAACCTTATAAGTGAACCGCGTAAAATAAATCACTGGTGTCAAAAGCGCAAAAGCGTGTAAGCGAAACCGCGTATAAATATGCCGCGTAAAACGAGGGACGCCTGTAATTGTTTTTGCTGCAAGCCTCTATGATGGATAGGTTCACAGATACAGTACCTCACTTTCTTAGTTGGCCACCCTGTGCAATGATAATGAAATGCATTATATAGCAAACTTTCAAGATAAAAATCTGGTTATAAAAATTGAAACAACAGAATTGGTGAATCTTCAGCAAACTAACCAAAGTTACTGTAAGTGAAAATCAATCCTATTTTCCAATAGAACCTGCCCTGAGTTCCAATAACTTTCCAAGTGAAAATGTAGAGTAAAAAGAAAGTAAGAAAAAAGGTTGATAGATTTGGCAATAATATTTCAGTTGCATATCTGTTGACAGTGTGAGTGTGATTATTGATTTCATTATCTTTTTTTAAATTCTCCAATTTTGAATGTTTCCTAATCATTCTATTTGTCATGCAACATATAGATACAGCAGTTACATCCCTAAATCAGTTCATGAAAATATGAGTTGTGAAAATGGTATAATGGAGATGATAGCATAGGTGTTGTCTTTAAAAGGTATGGACCTGCAATTCTCACTCTCTTCATGGAAAAAGAAATAGATGTTCTGTGAGTAATTATGACTATATTATTCAATCCTTTTTTTTAAATATGGTCATAAGGAGATTAATGAGTGGGTAATCATATTATATACAAATCTAAACAGGAATTCAAAATTGGATAATCAGTCAAGTGAGTCACCTTTTAAGATAGAAAGTTCTTTTTCAAATGTAGACAGAAGCAAAATGACAGAGCTTATCTGGTACTATTGTGGTTGGACTACAGTTTAGATTTTTTTTTATCGATTATTATTCTAATTGGGTAATTTGCAAGTTTCTCATAAACAGTACAGTTTTCTTTAAAAGTTCTATGAGGTACAATGCATAAATAGGCTAATTCTGATTTCTCAAAGAAGTGTGTAGTATAACCTATTTCTCTAATCTATATTTTCTTTCATTAAGTTTGATCAGGACTAAGATTGTATTTTCTATAAAAGATGTGTTTAATTCTGAATCTACTTACTTGAACTGTTATTAATAATGTTGATGGTATGCTGAGTTGGTGATGGTTGTTTGGAGCTTTCTAAACTCTGACAGACCTGCTCCCTACTGCCAATTCTAGCAACTGAGGAATATCCACTAGTAGAATCCTCACTATCTGAATCTTTATGACCATTCAACGTTTCAGAAGTGTATGAGGTATGAGAAATGAATGTTTTTCTACATTTGATTCCAGATGGGCCAGCAACAGGTTCTGAAAAAAAGAAAAAGAAAAGATTGTCCTCAAATTTTGTATTAAAAAAATAAAATATATGCCAAAGCATATTAAATTATTAATGTTATTTCCGATAATTATTAGTGTTACTGAACTAATGATATAGTTAGTGGATTCAAATAAGTACTTTTTATTTTAAATTTGTAATAAAATATTGAGAAGTTACTGCTCTGTTAATATTAATTGTTATATGGATTAATCCTTGAGCTCTACCCCTGAGCCCTTTATAGATTGTTAAATATTAATTAATAAAAAAAAAGCGATCTTGGTAGACTAGATTGACAAAATATTGCATTTGTGGGTGTAATTGTTTTGACATTATGGGCTTTTTGGTTTATTTGTAACTAAGAATAGAAATGGATTTTCAGTATTGTGTAGAAAGATGAAAAATATAAATAAATGTAATTGCAAGTATAAAGGGTGCAGTGCAGAAGGATCAACCTTCTCTATGTTTTACAACATATGAGTTAAAACAAATTTTAATAAAATGTTTTACTCTAAACCATTTTAAATGATACAATTTGGTTTATACTACAATGCAAGTTACAGCTTTTGTGTAAGTACATACTAATAGATAATCTTAGAGACTAACTCATTCTTTCTGATTATATTAAACATATTCAAAGCTCATGTTGACCCATCTGTTTCATGTTTTTTACTACATGAAGATGCAATGATAAGTATGTGATTCAACAATTAATGCTGATTAATTGCAATTTATATTATACCTGGAAAATTGGTAAAGTTTCTAAATGAGGATATATCACTGGGTGGTAACTTGTTTGATGTATTGTTGTTGCAGTTGTTTCCATGTATGTCATTAGGCAGCTTCACACGTTTTGAAGGAGGCTGCATTTGCAACATATCATCTTCCAGTTCATTTTCATCTCGCTTCCTTGTTATCTGGCTGTCATCATCCTGTTTTCTGAACCATTTGGACAGTGGAGTTATGATAGACTTTACTTTTCCCACTAACGACTGGAAGACGTGAGAAATGCACAATTAATTTGGCGGCACAGTGTAGTTTAAGCTCGTGATAAATTTACACTTTTCAAACAATACTTTCAATTCGTCTTAGGTTACTGGTAGAAATGATAGGGAAATGAATCAATCCGAGACACAGCAATTATAAAACGTAGGAAAACTAGGAAATAACATTTCTGTAACGTATATTTCGCTATTAATAGATATTACAACGCGCGAATTTATTACAAGAAAATGCATAACTACCTGGTCAGCCTCAGAATCTTTTAAACTTGGCGAGTCACACCTTGCACTATTGTTGAAGTCTCTTTCCATGTTTACACTACTCTTAAAATTTATCTGTACAATATAAATAATCTATAACAAAATTAAACATTTTCTGACAACTTTCACCACACGAGGATTAAAATATGGCGTACTTATCGCAGTGGGGCCATTACCAGATTCTAGAGGGAAAATGTCTGGTTCAAAATTTCGCGGGAAAATTCATTATTATCTCCAATTTTATCGGTTTAATAGACGTCATATATAACAAAAAAAAAACTTGGAATAACAAGAAGTTCGAATATTTAGTCAGCAAAAAATTATGAGATTTCAAAAGAAAAATATGAGAAAAGTATATGATTTATCGTGCTCAAAAGACGCATGCTCATTAACGGCGGGGCAACAGCGCAATATCTCCCCAAAAAAGTAATTTTATTTTCTAACATTTCCCATCATGTCTATCACTTGTCAGTAGCATCACGTGCATGTCACTGTCATTTGTCAAATAACTGTCAAAGATTTGAGGTTGACAAAAATCCAAATTCTAAATTTTTAATAATTATTATTTTAATTTGTTTTGTGATTTTAATCATATTAGATTACTTGCTTAACAGACATGTATAACATTAAAGGTCCGAGTAAAATTGTTGCAAAAACTACCACTCGAAGAGGTATAATTTTTACATTCTTTCTTTGAAGATTTCAAATTTAAAACTTTTTCTTTTTCAGGGATCTCTCAAAAAATAGATAATTATCACAAGAAAAAGAATATCGAGGGCGATGATTACAACAATGAAGCAAATACGTATGTAGAATGATAGCTATTTCGCAAGAGTTTGTATTTACATAATCTTTTTAGGAGCCCAAAACCAACCTTCCAGAAAAAGTCCTCGCCAACACATAACAGGCACAAAAGCATCTCACGTCCTCATGAAGAAGTTATAAATTACATCTACGAATGTAAGTACTCATATTCAAAATACAGTTATCCTAGAATAGGATATAAGAAAAGCACTTGCCTATTATAATACAATGTCAAATCAGCCTCTGCCAACTACAGCTTCAAATATTATACTTAATAGAACACTATACTGACATCTGATAAATTACGATACTATCAGTCAATTTGGTTATAGGCGATAGATCTGTAAACATAAATTTGTAGGCATGTATTTTATCATTTATCATTGAATAGTCACAAGTGTACTAAAAAAGCATGTATACAAGCTCAAATACTTGATATACAACTTATTACATTTTTTCAATAAATAAAGTGTTGCTTACATAATATTTTTATATGAATCACTTATTTTCAATTTTAGCTTGGAATTCAGTATGTGCAGAATTAGAAAATGAGAATACAGATGCTAATGGAAATAAATGCCAGCACAGTAAGTTATGAAATAAGAATATCTTTATATAATTTCAATGATTACTAAATGATAATAACATCCTTTTTCTGTACAAAAATTTCAGGTGAACCATCAGTATGCTATTATGAAGATGGACCCTTCACAGTACCAGATTTTAAGCCCTTTGACTTAGAAGCATGGTGGGGAAGACGCTTATATGCATATGTAACTAACTCTGTAAACAGAAGCTAGAAAATTTTAGTGCAAATTTTACCTGTTTTTATGTGATGAAAAGTTGTTTTACCATTTTATTTTTCATTATCTAAGATAATATTGTTACTGCTATACAATTGTTTTTATAAAAAAGATAAAATTAAATTAATTAAAGCTTTGTATGAGTATTATATTCTGAAATTGTCTCCATTTATTTCCAATGATATCTTACTTAAACTTCAGTATTTTGAGCACCCTATATAATTAGAGCAGCTTTCAAATTTGACAGGTGCAATACTGTCCTTATGACAATAATGTTTTGTATGTTCTTATTCTGTAAATAATAGTTCACAAAAAAGGTCAGAACCCAGTATAAATGCACTGGTACCTGGAGAAATGCTACAGTATAGAGAAGTGTGTAACATATTGTTATTAGGACAAATTTATGAATCATTGTTTTATTAGAGGCAGCATAAAAGCAGACAGTGGAAAAATCGTATTAGAAGTATCCATTCATTGGTGAACAAGTTAGAAAATAGCCTTTCACAGTCACAAATTTTGGAGAGATATATGGTTATAGCTGTCAATTTAAGTACCCTTAAAGATCACAGTAACAAAATGCATTTGGAAACATTGGAGGATGAAAATAGAAAACTAATAAGTATGTTTCATAGTATACTACCTATGCCTGCCATACTTTTCTATAATAATGTTGATAATCATTTTTCTGAATACTATACACCTTCGTAGTAATGCTTTATTTCCAGGTTTGTTAGTAGGTACTGATGATGTTATGGCACAAAGAATAGACCCTGCTACCACTTGTAGTACCATGAGCCTTGTACACTTGCAGTACAAGTAGGTAAAAGTAATTTGTTCTGCTTGAACTGTGACTGTTTTAAATGTTTTTCAATTGTTAGGTATGTTTTTTCAATATGTTTTTGTTAATACATTTTTTCATCATTTCGAATTGACACATTCACGCAATCACTTTGTATGCTTTTATAGATATGAAGAGTTAGTCAAGAATCATAATAGTCTCTTAAAAATGCTAGATGCAAGACTGAACGAAATGCGAAAATATCAAAAAGAAAATATATCACTGAATGAAGAAGTGCAAGTTCTGATGACAAAGCTGCATAACTGCAGATCATTCATTTCTGAACTAAGAGAGCGGATCAGAGATATTAAAATCCGTAAGAACAATAAGGTACATTTCAAATAGTCACAGATGATTCATTTCTCGCGAGAATCATCTCTATGCATTATGTTTGTTGAACAATGGAACATTGTCATCTGTTTATTTTTGCGCACAGACAGGAATACAAGGAAAAAACCTTTTCGCGCCCGCCTTCAACGATGTGAGCAAATTCGATAATAATACATTTTGACAAACAAAATCGGAGAAAAGCAGCTTCATTTGAGTGAAAGGAGATGGTATCTGTTCAGTCAGCATCAGAGTATTTTCGTAGGACTGTAACCACCTATCTTCAGGAACAACTATCACTAGACTAGACACTTTTACCTATTTAAATTGGGTGTTTTGATTCTGGTCACTTATACTAGTGAAGATCTAGCAACTCGCAATCTAGTGCCAACCGCTCCTGGACAATAATACACCAACTTCAATAATTGTGAATGTCTATCGGTTGTGGATGGTAAAATGGCAGCGAGTGCAGAATATTCCGCGGTGGATTCCTACTCATATTGAAAATTGCGATGCCAACATCAAAAATGTCTTGTATATCCTTGCTACACTAGCAGTTCGTGTAGCGATAGTAGAGGCGTACTTTTCTACACTCGAAACGTGGTTGCAAGCTTCATGGCAGAAGATTATATGGCTATACAGATGTACATGTCGATACGGAAGAAGTCATAAGACGCTTTGCAAGGAGACAAAAAAGAAGAAACAAATTTTATTACTTAACAATAGACACTTTTCTTTTAAATTAGATTTGTTTTTTAAATCGCATTTAGGCTACAGCGTATAGGTATACGGGTAGGGTCACGTCCACCCCTCTCTTCAATTTTTAATCCCCCCCCCTCTGGACAAAGTATAAAATATAAAAATAACCTCCTGAACATGAATCCTGTGACACCTGACCTAACACAAATGCTAGTTCCGCGCATAAATCTATACGAGCAGCCAATGATGCAAGATCGTAATTTTTTATTGCAGATATCAAAGTTAAGAAACGAACGAGATACGCTGAGAATCGTACATAACCGACTGGTCAACTTGCTGAACAAGCAGTACCGAGCAGATGACAATCACTTAAGGGAGCAACTCAAGTATATCAACGAGCCAAAAACAGCTCAGTTAATGCAGGAGGTACAGTATTTTGAGTCTTTTCATGAAAATAATCCATAACATGCGAAACGTCACGAAAGATTACATAGATAGATATCAGTCCTTCAATTTCGCGATTTGCTGCAGTTTCAATATTTATATGATCAAATCTCCCTTACAACGACGTGTGGCCTTGTGTCTCTCTTCTACAGATATGCTAACTCTATCGACCTCCATATACCGAGAACTGTCCGGTACTATAGATTCTTTATTCCTAGAGTGTCAAGATTGCGGCACCATTTGCCCGAGGTTGTTTTCCCTAGTCCTAACCTTAGGCGCTCGCGGTACGTACACCCTATTTCACGAGTATACATCACGCTTTGACGTCTACTGAGGTGAACATCTGATTAGCAAGTGACATTTTTGTGTTGTCTGCAACGTTGGCTACAATGAATCGAGTGTAAATCTAGCAAAAAAATGTTTGTAGCGTTTTGTTTTTTGTATGCAAATGAACTTTTCTAAATAAAAGAGCTTTTAGCAAGTACAAAATGAACCTGTAGCGTACAAAAAAACAAAATATGGCTCTGTCTACCTGGGATTGACGATGCGTCAGAATTAAGTGTCATTTGCCGATATAGGGAATTTTGAAATATCACTAGATAAGCAGCTGTCATTCTACCATGATGGTATATATCCTATTTCACGAGTATCCATCACGCTTTGACGTCTACTGCGGTGATCAGCTGGTCAGCAAGTGACATTTTTGTGTTAGTCTGATACGTTGGCAATAATGGAACTGGTATAAGTCTAGTAAAACTTGTTTGTAACGTTTGGTTTTTTTATGCAAATAAATAAAATAGCGAGAACAAAATGAATCTGTAGCGTACAAAAAACAAAAACAAAATTCGGCTCTGTCTACACCTGGCGTTGACGGATCCGTCAGAATTATGTGGACTGTGCTGATATGGGGAATTTTGAGATATTACTAGATAGCTGTCATTCTGCCGTGCTAGATACTCGTGAAATAGGGTAGGGTACTTAAGTCTTTGCTTCTCACTTTTGTGTATAGGGTTCAATAATCTTGAAGTTGCGGAGAGGTCGGAATTTTTTTTTTTTTTTGGAACAGTAGTAACGTTAATTATATAATCAAGGTGCTCCAGAATTATGGTTATTTTGTCAAATTCCAGGTCAGAAAGAATAATCTGCTATCCTATGAAAACTTCCGATTGCAACAAGAAGTTGATTACCTGAGGTCCATTTTGAGGTTCAAGCGAGTGAACTCTGCTCCTTGCATGGGGCCAAAAACGTGTCAATAAAAATTTAACCGAGCGGTGTAATAGTCTTTTTTAGAAAACAGCATTTTTGAATCAAGATTTCTGATAGTTGAAGAGACTGCAAGTAACTGACTGATGTCTTTTAAAATAAATAAAATATCTATCAACAGATGTACTAACAAACTAACATGCGAAAAAAATATAGGATTGATTTCCTTGGGATGGCTCACCACGACAGTCAATGTTTAATAATCAGTAATAGCATAAAAATATTTCTTCGCCAATGGTTTATTCAACCGTTTTTACAGGAAGTTGCGTCATTATTTTTTAGTGTTCTATATGCATATAAGAAATTACCTCCTGATTCTGTTATTCAGGTAATAAAATACAAAATCGTTAACAAGTAAATAATTTATTGTGTAATGTTTATTTGAAATGTGACAACTAAGATTAACATTAGAAAAATATATATATAATCTATCACAGTTACGCCTCCACAGAATTTCTCTATTTAAAGTATCTAGAAAAATGTAGAGAAATTAATCTTCATCACACGTAACTTACACTTGACGCACCCACAGCAAGGGAAACACATAACGTTTGATACCAATTTTTTGTTTTTCCATTGTTGAGAAGCTCTATTTACTTGGCTGTTAAATCAAAACCATTGGAATTGGATAAGTTTAAATTTCCCATTCTGCGTTTGCCGGAATTCAAGTCTCCTATTTCTGACCACATGGTGGGTACATCCAGTTTACCTGAAACAAGTGACTTTAAATGAATTAACTAATCCACGATATTTTAATATAAGGGATGAACATCCAAAAAATCACAAGCGCCACATTACTATCCCTGGCTAAACATACATCCATACTAATTACAACTAGATTATTTTTTAGATTTTTCATAATTGTTTTATCACTCACTTGACTGCTTCCTGTGCACACCACTCCTCCTTTCATTCGATAAATTTGATAATAAACTAATATTTGAATCTCTTCGCACCCCCGAGGGCTGACCTGCCACATATCTACAAAACAAACGAAGATTAGATTTGTATAAACCTTGCGACGTTTTTTTTTTTTCATACCTAGAGACGCTTAAATACTGGCTTCTTGCAGTTCCCGCACTGGCTTTTGCTAGAGGCTCTAGAATATCCTGCAAGTTATATTGGCTAAGGTTCATCTTAGATTCCTTGGCAGATTTTTCCATCGACGGAATTTTTATCTTATTCCTACAGAAAAAGCAAATATATTTAAGGGTAGGCCACAAATTACAATACCATACCATTTATTTATTTGCCACATTATCTACATACAATGTACATGTGAGGTCTAACAAACTATTAATTATCCGAGTGACGTCATAGTATCAACGTACTCATCAACTGAATAGAAACAGTGGTTGAATTTTGGTTTTTGTGTTGTTTTTATATTGTTTTTCCCAGAGACTGTGTACCTCCCCGAAACAGTGGTTAAGCATCGTTTTTTTTTTGCAAACTTTGACAAGTAGCGATAATACATATTTCCAAAATTATGTTCTATTTGCATTGACCAATAAATGATATAATTTAATGTTGGTCTATTATTCAGTCGCGAGTATGGATTGCATAGGTAATTTACTTTCCGTAGTGCATGGGTGTGTATTTCTTCAGAGGTTTGATATTTGTTTAGATTTCTGTGCATATAACATAGCACTTCAAAAATATAAATTGATGGATGTGGTAATATTTGTAAAGTTTTGAAGTGATATCTGTACGTTAATCGATAACTGGAATTTGTAATTATCCTCAAAGCTGTTTTTTGTAAATTGAAAATTTTGTTAGATGCTGAAATCAATTACAAAATAATGTTTAGGCCAGCGTTCAAACTTCAAACATCTTTCCATCTAAAACAAAACTGGATCGTTGAACGTTGATTACCGAATTCTTCAAGAAAATGTACTTGGATAATTTTCATCGTTACAGCCATGTTGCCAAGTGGGATCGTAGTGATTCCCTTAGAGGCAATAAAAACAGACTCCATTTTTTTAACGAGAATTGTTTTGTTAAACACGACATCAACTTTCCAAGGAAAAATCACCTCTCAGCCTCCCTTGTAATTATTCCTAAGATTTTGTATTCTCAGAATTTTTTTACGACTGGAAAGGAAACCCCATAGCCTGCAGTCCAAGAGGTAGCCACACTGACCGCTAAAGGCGGTGGTCAATAGGTACAGTGTCCCAGAAGTCGACGTCAAGCCGGAAACGGGGATAGACCAAGTCATAATGGTTATGAAAATATAAAAAATCTAAGTCGTGTGCTTTTCAAATTATAGGCTTTAAAAAATCGGAAAAATCTACACCTTGTGATGAATTTCCAATTCCCATTACTACAGTTTTCAATTCTTTCTTGGACGGAGTGGCGGACAGTGTCAGCTGCTTACGTTATTTTGTCCCGTAGCGCAGTCAAACTGAATTGATTTAAGTCAGATGATCGGGCTGGCAACGAAATTGTACCAGACCGCCCTATCCATCCGCTCGGGTATTGCCCATCAAGATATTCTGTAACTGAACGAGCATAGCGCACATGGTTAATGGCACGTCTTGGAATAAGTTTGGTAAATGAGTTTGTAAAAAGTCTAAATAAATTTCGCCATTAAATTCATTGAAGAAACCAAAGCAAGAAAAAGCAATCCAAATGATGGTGGAAGGCTTGAGAAGACGTATAGATGAGAAAGAATGTATTGTAACAGTATTTTTAGCCTTTAAAAGCGCATTTGAGACTATTGATAGGGAAAAATTGTTAATGAAATTGCATCACTATGGATTTAAAGGACCAGTATTAAACATTTTACAGAATTATTTAGTAAAAAAACTAAAGTTGGAAATATTATGTCAAGCGTTCAAAATATATCAGTGGGAGTAAATTAGGGCCGTTACTATTAATTATTTATATAAATGATATCTCTGACATTTTAGAACACTGCAAAATTCAAATATTTGCGGACGACACCTTGATATATATGGCACATAAGCATAAGCAATTATGAATTGGTTAAATGTCAATAAACTTATATTAAACACTAATAAAACAAAATGTATGTCAATAGGGAAACATTTAGGTGTCAGTACAATTAGGCTCATGGTTGATGATGAGAAAATTGAAGTAGTCGAATCATTTAAATATCTTGGTATATATGTATGTGAATACTACTGTTTCACGAGCATTAAGAATACATTTCAAAAATATAAAAAAAATAAATTACTTCTAATGAGTTTCCCGTAATCTTAGGATGTATTCAAAAAAAATTGTATAACACTATAATTCATTTTTTATATTGTTCAACCATGTTGTTTACAGCAAATGAAAACATATTTTCAAAATTACAAATTCTACAAAATAAAGCTATGATAATCATTTTAAATAAAAACAAATATGCTAGGATCAAGTCTATGTTAGAAGAACTACAGTGGTTGAATTTGAAAAAGTTCATATATTTTTTAGTTCTCGTTTTTATATTCAAATTAAAATATCATTTATTACCACCACATTTAGAAAACAAAATTAAATAGTCATTATCATAACTACGAAAATAGAGGCAGTAAAGATTTTCATCTTCAAAATTGTAATAGTAGCGTGGTTAGTAAATCTATATTTCAAAAGGGAGTATTTGAATTTAATAAATTGAATAATGATACTAAACAGTGTTCGAATTGAAATTGAAATTGAAAAATCACTTTATGAATAATCTAAATGCATAGTGATGTAATTTTAATAGACCAGAATGTAAAATTACAGAAAATGGATTGAAGACAAATATGTAACCGAATCATGATACAAAATTGACATTCTAGCATTAATGCTAAATAAATCTTCAACAAACAAACAAAGAACTCTGTCAGCTCAAAGGGTACAATGATTCTAACATATAGAATCTTGGTCCTCGTGCTTACTTTAAAACTATACTGTGGTCTATCTTGTCTCATCAAATGATGATTTTCTATATGCCACTCACTCGTCTAAGTTGTATAAAAAAATCTCTAAAAATTGCGGATCTTCCAAGTGTTTCTGCAACTTTGTTAGACAAAACTCAGCTCTTGGAAGATAATCCTGGGGTTTTAGAGATTATACTCGCTGTACGTGATACGGGTGGATCTCGTTCTTTCGCAAGATCCGGTAGGCTGTACTTTTGGGAACTCCCGTGCTTACTTCTATTTGACGTACTGAAGTATTCTTCTTCGACTGCTTGTAGTACGACGTCCTCGTAAGGAAACGAAATTCCTAAACGGTGCACATTCACAAAAACTCGATGATCGGGATGACGAGCAACATTTGGGTACCTCTCACGATAAAGTCTAGCTGTAGCACTAGCATTGCATCCACATCCCCATAAATGAGGTGCATGTTGCCGCATTCCTGTACCGTGTACATAGACATGGTGGCACTACACAATCATGGATTAATAAATGTGCCGTTACTAGCTGTCTGGCCGTCACTCCGGCTAAGAAACCATTGACATTTGTAGTAATGGGAACTAAAAGATTATCACAGAGTGTAGATTTTTCCGTTTTTTAAAGCCTATAATTTGAAAAGTACACGAATCAGATTTTTTTATATCTTTTGATAACTATTATGACTTGGTCTATCCCCCTTTCCGGCTTGACGTCGACTTCTGGGTGTGGGATAGGAGTGTTGTAAGCATAAGTGGTTGGTGGGCGTCACGGTACATGAACTTATTTTCGCATAAGCATTGGGCTGGGTATCTTTTTGTAAAATATCTTAATCAGTGGTCGTGACCATTATAATTTCCGTATAAATGTTGATTAAAGGATTACTTTCTACTTACCCCAAAATATCAGCAAAATCATCCTCGTACTCAAAATTCGTCCCCAAGCCCCAGGTGATTTTCTTATTGGGCACAGTTCTGTTGTGATTCAGATTGTTGAACATAGGCACATATTTTCCTGTATAGTCAGATTGTCCGAAGCTATATACTATAGGTTGGGATTTTTCTGGAGTTTTCGCAGGCTTTATCAACGATTGAATATTGATTTGTACTGAAGGTTGCATTAGAGCGGCTGGTTGTGGAGCAGCTTTAACCACAGGTCGAAGATTAGTCTGAACTTGAACCTATAGAAAAAAACTAGCTAATCCATGGTTCTACCTCTAGAGAGTGAGATATTTTCACGTTTTTTGTAAATACTGTTTACATGTTACTTTGGAACTGACGGTTTAGGAAATGATTCCGCATACGTCAAATAACTCAAGACCTTGCTTGAATTTTATAAAATATGAATAGAGTAGAAATCCCCCAACTAGTTCTACGTAACGAAAACAATTATATGACAATTATAAAAGGTTTTTCATGCTTTGTTTGACACATTCGATCTCCCTGATTTTGTACCAACTTGTGTCAATTTAAAAATACAACGTATTACAGATCATTTATTTACCGACAGATGCTTGCATCAAACCATATGTGCATTTACCACAGAATACTTGAATGCCTGATACACGGTGTCCAGTGGGTAAGTCCACATTTCAAATTTAAATTACGCGGCAACCGTATACGCGAGGAAGTAGCGAGAGGTCTTGATCGACGCGTTCGGCGTGCAAGTTAAATAGTCACAATGGAACGTTGGACAGGAGTGCAACGTGCTTTTGCTATCGAGGCTTACTTTAAGAGTGGTGATTCATATGCAGCTGCCCTTCGGAAATTTTGTACACGCTAGAACATTCGCCGATCAAGAGATGCACCAAGTAAGATCCTATTGAAAAAGTGGATTACGAGGTTCCGTGAAACAAGCTCTCTTAGTCAACCCATTCCTGGCCCTACACCTAATGTATCAACCGAAGAAAATGTGCGTCGAGTAAGTGATTCGGTTATTGCAAAGCCTCGACGTTCTGTACGGAAGCATTCCGCTGCTTTGGGAATCCCTAGGCCAACACTGCATGGCATAATGAAGCAAAAATTGGGTTTTGATCCATATAAAACCCAATCAGTCCATGTTTTAAAGGAAAGTGATTACGAATTATGGAAATCTTGTGCTGAACGCATGTTGAATCTTTTTTCTATGTAGCCCAGACTCTAGAACGTTGTTTTCAGTGACGAGGCCCATTTTCACTTAGACGGTTATGTGAACAAGCAAAATTGCAGATACTATTGGGCACCAACGACCCAAAAGAGAAACATCAACAACAGCTATATAGTTCAAAGGTGACTGACTGTTTGGTGCGCCATACCCACTAGCGGTATTATTGGGCCGTATTTTTTTGGAGATAAAAAAAGTCATGCATTGACAGTGAATTCCAAGCGATACAAGGACATGATTTACACTTTTTTTGCTCCTATTGTAAGAACAGAACACTGCCCATACTTCCCGAGAATCTATGCACAGTGGCCTCCTATGTCACCCGACCTTTTGTGGGGTTATCTAAAGTCAAAAATGTATTCCAATAATCCAGGAACACTGGAGAAGCTTAAATACAACATTCGACTTAAAAATAAACAACATCACTCCGGAACTCTGCAAGAGAGTGTTTCAGAATTTGCGCGCGCGATTGGAAGAGTGTGTCTGAAGGGATGTCAAACACTTGCACGGAATGATATTTAAGAAATAAAACCCGCCGAATTTACGAATATGTCGATAGCAATAAATATTTTCTTTTCATTAAGTTTGTATTTTTTTCTTAAATCAAAAAGTGAACTTTACCACTGGATTGCGTGTACCAAAATTCATTTCTGATCTGTTCTCAAGAAAAATCACGTGAACTATCAAATACCGACAAGTTTTCTTGTTTTGGAAAGAAAACATTTTCGACCTATCTTTATATGAACTTTATTGCATATTGTAACAAAAGTTATTGCGTTTCATGTCTTAAGTTCATTAAGTATATGAAAACTGATTTTACCTGTGGTTGAGCAGCATAGGATTGAGTTTCCTCAGTTAGCATTGAAGACTGTTGTTGAGGAATTTTCTGGAATATTCCATTGGTATGTGATTTCAATGCACTATTCAACTGTATCTGACGATTAGCTTGCAGCGCACTGTACTGACCAACCTGAAAATTTGAAATCAATTTGATTTTGCTGTTTACATATTATTCACTACCAACAATTTCCGACTACAAGGAACTTACGTGAAAATAAGGATGTTTTAAGGCCGCCTGAGCGGTTGGCCTATATGCAGGGTTCCATTCCAAAAGTTGCTCCATGAGAACTATGGAATTTGGGCTTGCTTGAGGTACAACATCGCTCAATAGCGTTTTGGCAAAATATGGAAATTTGAATCCTACTGCTCCAGCTAGTTGATAGCATTCTGGCCACTTATTCTGAAATAAATCTCATTTCTCTACTATGTATAAGCGAGACTCAATATTGCGTAAATTTGGTTTAAAAAAAGGATATCTTTCCATAGTTTTTCTAGATTCCTGCAAAATCCCTAAGAATACTTTTTGATTTCAAAATCTGAACAACTTTTAATTATCATGAGATTAAGGCATCATACTAGGTACATCTGACAACATTAATTTTTGGTGGAAGTGATATTGATTAAAAAATTGAGATACCATTTTGCTGATTACTATTAACAATGTGTCCACGCTAACCTTGTCTGGAGTTCCTAAAATGGCACAAATCTTATACAACTGGTCCGTTTCAGTTGTACCAGGAAACAAAGGTCTATACGTATATATTTCTGCTGCTATGCAACCTACAGCCCAAAGATCTATAGGGCTGCTATATGTGGTCGAATGAAGTAAAACTTCTGGAGCCCTGTAGACCAGAAAAAAGAATTCATCAAATACTGGTTATACAGAATGAAGGAACCAATTAAACTTTAGTCTAAATTCAAACACAATAAATACTCATCACAACTTCATTTTACCGCTATGCTGTTAAGCTGATATAGGTAAGTTATTTGTATAAGTCAAAGTTTAACCTACTTGAAAAAAACAATTTAGAAGATATATTTTATATGAGCTAAGTTTCATGTGTGTTTTTTTTACACTACAACTACCACGAAGGCCTAAGGCCTAAACACCCATTGGGTACCGTGGGGCTACGGGATATAATATTAAAAGTATATACAGGATGTTTCAGAAAGACGAGTCAATATTTTTAGGGTAGAAAGTACATCCAAAAATGACAAAAAAGGTTCCTATAAATATGTGCCCAAAGATGCTACCCTACCGAGATGCAGGGTGGTGAAGTTTTTTCCATAGAGCCACAGAGAGTCTTTGTGACGTAGAGCACGGGCTTATGATGAATCCAGAGGTGGTCACTTTCAACACCTCCTTTTTCTTGGATGTTATGGCATGTATTCAGCATTATATGGTATGTCCTCATAAATTTACTTGTATCAAATATAAGGTTTATTGTTGTCGTGTTTAATTCTTATTAGCTTTATTTATTTATTTTTGAAATCAATGATTTCTTTGTTTTGAAATTTCTTTATCTACAAAAATGAATATGCCGGCAAAACCACTGGCGTGCGCAGGAAATGTTTAGTGTTGTAAGAATATTTTAGGATCTTATCTCAAATATTCGAACTTAAATATTTCCAAAACAAGTGATCTGACAAATATTCCTTAAGAGACACAATATACTGAAAATTTAATTGTATTTCATAAAATGCACTTCTTTTCTTCGAAAAAGCCATTTGCGTAGAACATATTCCCTACTAGGGGTCTGGGTTTCCCCAGTTTCTACGTCCCTAGTTTAGTTTGGGCCGAGAAACTCTGTGTGTTTACTGCTTATGATGTGCTTACTGAACGTCTAAACTCAACTCAGTACCTTTACCCGCACCGTAGATATACATTTTTTCAATTTCGTAAATAAAACTTTACCCTGTATCTCGGTTGGGGAGCATCTTTGGACCCATATTTATAGGAACTTTTTTTGTTATTGTTAGATGTACTTTCTACCCTAGAAATATTGGCACGTCTTTCTGAAACACCATCTATAATAGGAATAGATCGTTGCCAACAAACAAGCTGGAAATATACACTGAATACGAAAAAACTATGAACGCGTCTCATTGTACGAACAATGCATAATAACACTTATTTAAATAATTTATTCTGACTTACCTATACCACCTAGTAGATACATAATCAGTATATGGCGGCCTAGATCTGATTTCTCTAACCAAACCAAAATCGGCGATTTTTACTAAATCTGGTCCTGAACATAGTATGTTTTCTGGTTTCAAGTCTCTGTGGAAAAATCCGTGCCTATGGATAAACGCCAGGCCCTGTAATATCTTGAAAATGGACATTAGTATCGACAGTTTATGTCTCTAATAATTCTAAGAAAAAGTAATTTTGCGGAAATTTAGATGAAAAAAAAAGGACAAACGTGAGTCCGCAATAAAGCAACAGAAGCAGAAACAGAAAGATTGGTAATCCGAGCGACCTGCGTTTCTGCTTATTGGCTTCATGAGGCCCAAATGGATGTGCATCGAAGTTTTAAACAATTCTTACTCTTTAGTTTCTGTGATTGTCATACAAATGATAATATGGTTCACTATACACTATACGGTAAACTGTACGAAAGAAACTTTAAACTGAAAAAAATACAATGTTATTTCAGTTTTTAGTACTATTGTAGATTCATCATTTTAAAAACATAGTAACCGATAAAAGATTTTTAATCATCCTGTACAGCCCAGAGGGACATTTTTATAGGAACCTAGCAAGAGCTAGGGTAAGGACCCACGACTTCGTACGCTTAAAATATAGGTGAAAACAGAAGTTATTCTCAAAACCCTAGCTATAACTTTTACTGCCATATGTGAAATATTACACTATCTAGTTTAGTAACAAAAGAGAAATTTATGCTTGAAATTCAAATTTTGTCTATCCTCAAATTGCTTATTTGACCAATCAGCGTCATCGGTCGTATCTATACCCCCCCTCCTTAACTTGTAAAATGATAAGGTTTGCTCATAGAGATATTCACCACCCCCCTACCATTTCTTAAGGATATAATTTCTAGAAGTACTTGTTAATGTTCTATGCTGGCCTGATTTGAAATATTTTAGATTCTTTAGCTTCAAGAGTGTTAACCCCTTCTAGTTTTATTTTTCTACAAGGATGCTGTCCGTTACCAAGGTCTAATCTATATCTGTGCTTAAATTCATCAAAATTGGTTCAACCGTTTTGGCGTGAAGCATACATACAAACATGTACACTTTCGCACTTATAATACTGAGTAGGGATTATATTATTATTTTTTGTATACTATATGAACATATATACGTGGTGTATATGCAAAAAACGCTTCATACTAAACCTGCTGGATTCATAACAAGGGAATAATATTTCCACGAAACAGTAAAATTGAAAATAAAAACATAAACTTTATGTGTTGTCGTAATGATGTCCTGTATAGTACTCGTGACCCGGACTTTTTCCCTCTTGCATAATAAAAACGTTCAATCTAATTCTAGTTACACTGGCACCATCTCATTAATAATTCAGAAAGGTAATGATCGATAACATCGTCTTGGTTATCATCTAATAGTAAATGGAATTATGAACAGTAGTTAGGACTGTTTCACTTGAATTAAATATCCAAATTGACATGACATACGAATAGTAACTTATCATTTTTTTAATAGCTTAATTTCTTAATTATTGTGGCTGCTGTGTATGAACCTCATGATAAATTCTGGAATTACAATCGGACCAATATCGGCAGTTATGACGATTTACTACGCCATTTAAGGAAAAGCAACATTCGTCGGAAAAGCAAGAGTTGAATAGAAAATGTTCATCATTTATAATTCGTTCACTCATATCTTCACAAAATTGTTCGATGCACGTTACTGTTCTCATGTCGCTCATTAAATATTTCTGCTGTTCTATTAGCGCACTGATTATTTCCGAAAGATATTTCGATAATTTCAACTCTTTCTGCTGTGGAATATACCATGGTTAATTTATGTAATAAAGCGTTACAAGTTATTTTAGCAACAAAGTTTGGTCAAATCAATCGCAAACTATGTACTAAATTCCTATTTAAAATAAGTAGGAGATATTTCCTTATCTTTCTTCTAGAAATAACTTTTTTGCCACAAAAAAACGCTCCAATAGCTATTTTCAACAACAAAATGATAAACAAACCATGGGCGTAGTGAAGAAAAGCATTTACTTATTAAGTAAATTCTTTTAGTCAAATTTATTCTGAAAGGAGTACAAACTAATCTGATGTACCTATTAAAGTCTACTTTAAGCTTTAAATCAATAAATCTTCAAAACTACTGAACTGAATCTCATGTATTTTACAACATTATAAAGGGATTTGAAAGACCTTTAAAATAAGGTATCACTCGCCCCCCCTTTCCATTTAAGAATTTAGGGTTGGTGTCACCCCCGCCCAGGGGGCTGCACGTGTTAACGTGATTTTTTGCCAAACTTGTGTCCCCTACGAAAACAAAATCGACGGGTCTGAGCGTTTTTCAAAAAAAAAATTGAGCTGCCAGTAAATGCGTCTGTTTCGTTTTCGATGCGCCACCCTGTATAATTCTGCTACTAGCTGGCTATACCAATAGCTTATCTAAGTTCATCAGCTGTATTTTTAGACCCTCCGTTTTTATGACATCGATCACGATAGATATCAACCTGCCATTAAATTGCCTATATTCGTTTAACGATTTAATATTTACCTGGTAAAGCATGTTCCTCACGGTAGCCTCAGGAAACGGCACTCTTCTATCCTTGATCAGCTGGTAGAGATTCTCTTGCATGTACTCGAATACGAAGTACAGCACGTCGTTCTCTCGTATTACTTCTTTTAGCTTCACTACGTTGGAGTGGTGTAATTTCTTCAGTGACTATACGCAAAAATGGATTGAAACTTCAGTACAAAGTGGTCAAAAGTTAACACCATAATTAATATTAGGTCTTCCAGAAAGCTCGTCGGTTCCGATATCTCAAATTTTCGATATGTACAGGCAGCAAAAACCAAAAGTTCACCAATTATGGCCTGAAAAACAAGATTGAACTCGCTTTAAAATAAACTAATCCCAAAATATATATTATAGTTTTTAAGCATTGACGGTAACCAAAATCAAATTTGTTTAAACAATTTTTCTAAACAAAATAAATTTTTTTGTCTAGAAGATTTTTTCGAGTTTTTTTTATCGTTCTGAACAAAAAGGCTTCCATTAACTTTTCTCTAAAGATGAGCGTATTCGAGTTATACTAAGTGACATATAAATCCGAACACCCAGTTTAAATGGTTTTATTTTAATAAAAGTTGGTGAATGTGTTTATCTTACTGTAAATAACAAGTGAAAAAAATGTTCAGCCTTATCAGTTGGACATTCCGGTTTTTATACTGCTTTTTTTTAATTCACTAACGCTCTAAAAATGAATATTTCAGCCGCAGTAAAGAATCAATGTTGGCGGATTTTGGTTCTTGACATGCTTTACGATCGGTTACGATGCCTAGAGTACGGAGACCTGTGCGATTTCGTCAACTTAGTGAGTTTGATAGGGGCCGTATAGTGGGACTTCGGGAAGCTGGACTTTCTTTTCGGGCAATTGCAGTTAGAGTGCAAAGAAGTGTAGACACTGTGGTTAGGTGTTGTCAGGCATGGCTTCGAGAAGGCCGTACGCAAAGAGCAAGGGGCACTGGTCGCCGCCGTAGAACAACAGACCGTGAAGATCGCCGCCTAAGATTATTGGCCTTAAGGGACCGTTTCTCCACTACCAGGTCCATTGCAAATGAATGGTTTGCAGAACACGGAAGACCTATTGGCATGCGAAGTGTTTACCGACGAATGAGAAGTTTTGGCTTGTTTTCATACCGTCCACACTGGGTCCTCCCTTTAACTCGAGAACACCGACGTAATCGCCTTGAGTGGTGCAGACAACGGTCACTCTGGGATCAGGAATGGAACAGTATTGTCTTTAGTGACAAGTCTCGATTTTTTTTAGGCATGCACGATGGTCGTGCCAGGGTTAGAAGGCGACGTGGTGAAAGGAGGAATCTACACTTTTTTGTTGAAAGACATGTTCATCACACTGTTGGAGTTATGGTTTGGGGTGCTATAGCTTATGGTTCCAGGTCACCTTTAATCTTCATCAGAGGTAACATGAACGCGCAGCGTTATATCCACGAAGTTCTAGAACCCCATCTTTTACCCTATCTTGACACCCTGGCTGATCCAACTTTCCAACAAGATAATGCCCGACCACATGTTGCAAGAGTCACAATAGACTTCTTTCAACATAATGATGTCACATTGTTACCATGGCCACCAAGATCTCCCGACTTATCCCCAATTGAGCTCGTGTGGGATATGATGGGTAGGAGATTGCTCAATTTGCAACGTCCTCCTCAGACTCTAGAAGCACTTCGAGAGGAGTTGGTGGTTGTCTGGAATGAGATACCACAGGAGGACATCGACCACCTGATCAGAAGCATGCCTAGGCGCGTTGGAGAATGCGTAGCACATCAGGGTGCATCCATACATTATTAAAGGTCAAAGGGCTTTAAACCAGTGCAATCATTTTGAAATTTTTATCATTTACTTATTATGCTTCATTAAGTACTTATACAAAATTTTATTAAAATAAAACCATTTAAACTGGGTGTTCGGATTTATATGTCACTTAGTTATAAGCAATTTGATATTTGAAAACCCGTAACAATTATTCATTGCTTAACAACTCGATGAATAATTGTAATTTTTGAGATTGCCAAGCATCTAAAGTAAAATTGACCTTGTTTTAGAGGACCCCGAAGATTACTTTGAAATTAGTTAGTTTTAAACCGATCAAAACACTTAGATCAAAATTGGTGAACTTTTGGTTTTTCGCATCTCTATATGGACAACTAACTCACTTCTTTTACCACTGAACGTATACATGCTAGTCCAGCAAAAACGAACTACCTATACCAAAAACGATTCGTGTTAGGAGTTAGAGCTACGCGATAGTGTATGTACTGATGGGGTCCATTTCTGCCACTGCATTTCGTACGAATTCCAACAAGAAATGCAACAGAAGCGTATAGAAATGTATTAAAACGTGTTTATTGAAGATGTAGTTTCTAACAGAATATGCGGAAAATGCTTAGAAAAAATTCAAACGGCTGAATTTGAACTTCATTGGCATTACATGTTAAAGCAAGGCTCGATTTTGCTGAACAAATTATTTCGGACTATATTTGGAAATTAAGATTGGCGTGAAAATATTCGATTTGGGTGTCACATGAGTTAAGTAAGACAGATTCATGACATGCACATCTCCACGGCAAACCGAGTTTGAGCTTCAGCATGAAAACATGTGGACCAATACATTACGAGCTGTTAAAACTGAATATAAAGCTGAATTTAGAGATGTATTGTCAGCAATTATATAATTTTAAGACATCACACTAAGAAAAAAAGGCGGCGACCCAAAATGTCTTCCTTACTGTCGCAGCGTTCCTAGATTGGATTCCTGACCATACGGCCATCGGTCTGAGATTTGTTTCCAACAGCTTTGACTTTAAATATTCCATTTTTCAATAATGTCAGCCAGCCATCTTGTTACCTAGACAGGTGCGTATTAAAATGTAGGGTCCGGGTCCGGGTCGAAACCGATGCTCAGCTTCTAACACAACCTGAAGCGAAGCTGAAGGTGTTGGTCCTGCCAATACGATGAAATTGATGACATCACGATATTCAAGTTTATCCATCTTAATGATAGTCACGCAAGACTTGCACTTTCAAAATTCGTGTAGACAAACTACTTGAGAAAAAAGTGTTACTTAAAATGTAGGGTCCGGCCAAAGGTCAGTTTTTTGTCGAAACTGATGCTCAGCTTCTAACACAACCTGAAGCGAAGCTGAAGGTGTTGGTCCTGCCAATACGATGAAATTGATGACATCACGATATTCAAGTTTATCCATCTTAATGATAGTCACGCAAGACTTGCACTTTCAAAATTCGTGTAGACAAACTACTTGAGAAAAAGTGTTACTTGTCATAGAAACAAATAACATGTTCACCCATGCAGGAATTATACATTTTTTCTGATTGGAGCGCGACGTCTGTATTAGGCCGAGAACTTTTCACTTTATCTTCGTATAAAAATTTCAAGCATTTATTTAAATTGACTAAAAGCAAATATTGCCTTAAATAGTGTCATTTAGGTGTATACGTTACATCTCCAATAAGCCCTTTTCATAAGAGTGTCTCGTATATACTAGGGCACCTTGTATAATTTTCTAATCCCAACTCTAGCATTCTAGTGCAAACCGTGAATAGTGTTCATTAATATTCAAAATGAACTGTCTAATACATCAACCCATGAAGAAAACTTAATTATATACGTTCCTTAACAAAATTGGGGTCTGCGGATGGGCGTGTTTCAGAATTCGCGTGAGATTCCTAGCAAACGGAAAGCCAGCACCATACATTTCAGTCTGGCCTACTTTGTTAGACTATAAACACGGGTCTTTAAACCTGTGCGGAACAGCAAAATCGATTTGGCGACATACTACAAACAAAACGTTTCTGCTAGACATTGAGGTGAACTGATTGAAGTTCCGTCGGTCATCCTATTTGCGAACAGCAAAGCAGCAGATTCGATTATAAAACGTGTTACAAATATAAAATGAAATATAAGAAACATATGTGTGTTAGAGTCATGAGCACTTTCCTTGTCTACTTGATTAATTTCATTGCGATTTTGAGGCAAATGTATAACATTAGAATATCATAAACAGGGAAAGCCAAATTTGTCTGATGGCTTGAGTTCAATGTGTACGAGAGAGAAGCGCCAGACGTTAGAAAGAGATAGAAGCCGGTTGAAGAGAAAAGGTAATCTCATTGCCTAGCAACGGTGGTGCAGAAGGTTGTACAATC